AGCTGGGACTACAGGCGCCCGCCACCTCGCCCGGCTAGTTTTTTGTATTTTTAGTAGAGACGGGGTTTCACCGTGTTAGCCAGGATGGTCTCGATCTCCTGACCTCGTGATCCGCTCGTCTCGGCCTCCCAAAGTGCTGGGATTACAGGCTTGAGCCACCGCGCCCGGCAAGCATTTCACCCTGTTGGCCAGGCTGGTCTCAAACTCCTGACCTTGTGATCCACCTGCCTCTGCCTCACCAAGTGCTGGGATTATAGGTGTGCGCCACCGTATCTGGCAGCAGGGAATTTTTTTGTTTGTTTTTGAGACAGGGTCTTCCTCTGTTGCCCAGGCTGGAGTGCAGTGGCACGATCACAGCTCACTGCAGCCTCAACCTCCTGGGCTCAAGCAACCCTCCCACCACAGCCTCCTGAGAAGCTGAGACCACAGAAGCATGCCACCATACCAAACTAACCTTTAATTTTTTTTTTTTTTTTTTTTTTTTTGAGATGAAGTCTAGCTCTGTCACCCAGGCTGCAGTGCAGTGGCTTGAGCTTGGGTCACCACAAGCTCTGCCTCCTGGGTTGAGGCGATTCTTCTGCCTCAGCCTCCTGGGTAACTGGAACTACAGGCGCTCGTCACCATGCCTGGCTAATTTTTTGTATTTTTAGTACAGACAGGGTTTCACCACGTTGACCAGGCTGATCTCGAACTCCTGACCTCGTGATCCGCCCACCTCATGCTCCCAAAGTGCTGGGATTACAGGTGTGAGCCACCACGCCCGGCCCTAATCTTTAATTTTTTGTAGAGATGGGGTCTCCCTAAGTTGCCCTGGCTGGTCTCAAACTCTTAGACTCTTGATCCTCCTGCCTTGGCCTCCCAAAGTGCTGGGATTACAGGCATAAGCCACAGTGCCCAGCCCAAAGAGAGAATTTAATATGACCTTAACCCCACCACCCAGACATAATGACTGGCAGCACTTGCTTGTTTTTGTTGTACTTGCTTTTGAGCATGTCAAAAGGCAGTTTCAAGTAAATCATGGAGGTTGAGTTACTGTCCTGAGAATGACAGTCCCAGAGTGCAAGGCCATCCTTGCTTCTATCTGGAGGTGTCCCCACAATGCTCTTCCCCACTGTTATCAGCTTCCAGGTAGGTATCTGGAGCTCTTGGCATCTGGACCAGGATTTTTGGAAATCAAGTTAAAGAACAACCAGAAAATATAATTAAATATTGGCCGGGTATGGTGGCTCATGCCTGTAAACCCAGCACTTTGGGAGGACAAGATGGGCAGATGACTTGAGGTCAGAAGTTCAAGACCAGCGTGGCCAACATGGTGAAACCCAGCTGTACTAAAAATGCAAAAATTAGCCAGGCATGGTGGCACGTGCCTGTAATCCCAGCTACTGCGCAGGCTGAGGCAGGAAAATTGCTTGAACCCAGGAGGCAGAAGTTGCAGTGAGCTGAGATCATGCCACTGTACTCCATGTACACTGGGTGACATAGTAAGACTCTGTCTCAAACAAACGAAAGGCCAGGTGCAGTGGCTCATGCCTGTAATCCTAGCACTTTGGGAGGCCGAGAAGAGGGGATCATGAGGTCAAGAGAACGAGACCATCCTGGCCAACATAGTGAAACCCCGTCTCTACTAAAAATACAAAAATTAGCCGGGCATGGTGGCACGCGCCTGTAGTTCCAGTCACTCGGGAGGCTGAGGCAGGAGAATCAGTTGAACCCAGGAGGTGGAGGTTGCAGCGAGCCAAGACTCCAGCCTGGTGAGAGAGCAAGACTCTGTCTCAAAAAACAAACAAACAAACAAACAAAAACACCAGCCAGGTGCGGTGGCTCACACCTGTAATCCCAGTACTTTGGGAGGCCCAGGCGGGCTGATCATGAAGTCAGGAGATTGAGACCATCCTGGCCAACATGGTGAAACCCCTTTTCTACTAAAATACAAAAAATCAGCTGGGGGCGGTGGTGGGTGCCTATAATCCCAACTACTTGGGAGGCTGAGACAGGGGGATTGCTTGAACCCAGGAGGGGGTGATTGCAGTGAGCTGAGATCACACCACTACACTCCAGCCTGGTGACAAAGCGAGACTCCATCTCAAAATAATAATAATCATCATCTCACCAGGCGCCGTGGCTCACGCCTGTAATCCCAGCACTTTGGGAGGCTGAGGCGGGTGGATCATAAGGTCAGGGGTTCAAGACCAGCCTGGCCAAGATGGTGAACCCCCATGTCCATTAAAAATATAAAAAGTAGCTGGGTGTGGCAGAAGGCGCCTGTAATTCCAGCTACTTGGGAGGCTGAGGCAGAGAATTGCTTGAACCTGGCAGGCAGAGGTTGCAGTGAGCTGAGATCCTGCCACTGCACTCCAGCCTGGGTGACAGAGGGAGACTCCATCTTAAAAAAACCAAAACAAAAACCAAACACGGCCGAATGCAGTGGCTCATGCCTGTAAATGCCAGGACTTTGGAAGGCCGAGACGGGCAGATCACGAGGTCAGGAGATCGAGACCATCCTGGCTAACATGGTGAAACCCCGTCTCTACCAAAAAATACAAAAAACTAGCCGGGCGAGGTGGCGGGCGCCTGTAGTCCCAGCTACTTGGGAGGCTGAGGCAGGAGAATGGCGTAAACCCGGGAGGCGGAGCTTGCAGTGAGCTGAGATCCGGCCACTGCGCTCCAGCCTGGGCTACAGAGCGAGACTCCGTCTCAAAAAAAAAAACAAAAAAAATAAAAAAAACCCCACAAAAATTAGCTGGGCGTGGTGGCACACGCCTGTAATCCCAGCTAGTCTGGAGGCTGACACAGGAGAATCGCTTGAATCCAGGAGGTGGAGGTTGCAGTGAGGCGAGATCATGACAGCACTCCAGCGTGGGCAACACAGGGAGACTCCATCTCAAAAAAAAACAAAAAAAAACAAAAAAAACAAAAAAAAACACAAAACTCTGCTCTTGATTTCAATAATTCCACTTCTGGGAACTGAAATTAGTAACTATCAGGAAATTGGGAAAAAAACCTTCATACTCAACGGTAGATGTCCTGGGGGTTAATTTCAAAAGGGAACTGCAGCGGTGAGCCAAGATCACGCCATTGCACTCCAGCCTGGGCAACAAGAGTGAAACTTTACTGTCTCAAAAAAAAGGTGGGGGGGAGGGGTACTGCAAACAACCTAGATGCCCAGGCAGCCTCAGAGAGATGTGTGAAGGGCGAGAACTCAGAGGCATATGAAACAGTATAACAAAGAAGGGTCTCTCCAATAGTAAATGTTGAATGAAAACAGCAGGGTTCACACATGTACAGCAGAGTCACACCGAGTATGTTAAGGAACACAGAACCAAGGCCAGGAGGGAAAGGCACCAGAGTGGCTACAATAGGGCTTTCTGACCAGAAGATGCCAGGCATTGGGTCTGCAGGGAGAACTGACAAAAGAGGCAGGACTGAATTCCATTTGCTGCGGGTTTAGCATTGAAGGCTGATAAACTGCTAGAAATGAGCAGGCAGAGGAATGCCTGAGTCCCTGGGGTGCTTGGAAGGAAACAAATCAAATGTACCTGCTGCTCCTGTATACAGAATAAGCCTGTAAGGGTCTGCGATCATCCTGGATCCAAATCAAGGGTCACTCCTCACTCAGTTTTAGGGGATTTGGAACCAAACGCCCCACTATCCCTATCCTCCAGAAGTCCCTGCTGCCTGAAGGCACCTGGTAAAAGGAAGGGGGTTGACCCACCACTGGCTAAATCAGCCTGCGCTGCCCCTGCAGACTCCGTGGCACAAATGATGCCCAGCCAGAGCAGGGGGCCACTGGCCCCCAACTACGTGCAGGAGGTGCACCTGCATCGGGTGGAGTCCATCAGCGACCTACACAGTGGAGGTGAGCGGGGACAGTGAGGATGATGTGCTGGGGGAAGGGACGAAAGCAGGTGCACCCACCACCCCACCGATGTCCCATCCCCCCAGCAGGCACACTGCGCCCTTGTCTGACTGAAGAGGCACGGCCGTGGAATGAGCTGCTGAGCGTTTTGCCGCCATCACTGTGTGCCCAGGCTGGCTGCAGCCCTGTGTACAGACGAGGAGGGTTCCTGCTGCTGCTCGTGCTGCTGGTGCTCACTTGCCTGGCGCTGGCACTCCTGGCTGTCTACCTGAGTGGTATGGATGCACAGGGTGCCAGCAGGAATAGACAGCAAGGTGGTGGGGACTGGGAGGCCCTTCTGTGCAGCTGGAAGGAGCCAACTGCAGATGCTGCAGCAATGAAAGATGGGGTGGGAGGCCCGTGGGTGCCCCTGGTCCTGGGCTGGGTCTGCAGGGGTCATGGGGTGGCACATGGTCTGATGATCCCCCACTTCCCATTCACAGTGCTGCAGAGCGAATCCCTGCGCATCATGGCACACACGCTCCGCACACAGGAGGAGACGCTACTCAAACTCCGCCTGGCCAGCCTCAGCCAGCTTCGGAGGCTCAACTCCAGTGAGACCCAAACACCCAGCTGAGATGCCATTTGAATCTGGGGCCTGGGGGTGTGTGTGGGGGAAATAAAGTGGCTATGGGCAGGTCTCTCCTTCCCTACTGCTGGCTGCCACATCTACACTATTTCCTTGGTGAGATTTTTGTATAAGAACCCGATGTTAACTTCACAGCTGCCTGCCTCTCCTGATCTCTTCAAGCCAGGCCTAGCCAAGTCTCTGGTGCCAAAGCCTTGTTTTGGGTGGCCCAAGGTCAGGGGAAGGGGCACCAGCTTCTGGGCTCCTCCTGTGGCCTGTCAGCACTCTCTGGCCACCCCAGATGGCAGGTTCTGAAGTCTAGAAATAGCTGCCCCCACAGCAATCACCCAAACTCTGCCAGGCCTCCCAGTGGGGGTCCAGCCTCAGCTCTCAAAGACAGGCTGGGCTCTGAGTAGCAGGAGAGGCACCACTTGGGGAAAGACTGCCTTGGAGGGCAAACGTGACATTGTGGAAGACCCAGCTGGGCCCAAGCCTGGGGTGGTAGGTGGGGAGGGAGAACAGAAAAATACCCAGGGGTTAAGACCACAGAAGCCTGACCATTCTGTTTAATTATCTCTAATAATTCTTAAAAATCAGCACACAAATCCATTCCAGGTAGCTTTGCCTCTCCACCTGCTGTGGTGGCATTTGTCCAGATGCCACCACCCCCCTAAGAGTGGGTCATCCTGGGCCTGAGAAAGGAAAGGAAGGGAAAGGCCCCCTAGTGCCTGCCCCACAGCCCTGGGACAGGCACGTATTTAGCCTGGCCTGAGACAGGGCAGGAAGAGGCCACAGGGCTGAGTGCAGGGACAAAGGGGCCAGGGTCCCAAGTGTCCGGGCCCCCAGCTACCCACCCCATGTCTGTCTTTGGTTTTGTCATTAAAAAAATAAAGTGACAAATACTGGTGGAGACCAGTTGTTGCACTGTCTTCTGTTAAAAATACGGACCAAGAGCATAGAAAGTCTCCTCTTCAGCAGGTCCTGCTTCACAGGATGTCTGCCCGCTTGTCCCGCACACGGCTTCGAGCCTTGGTCCGGGCTTTGAAGGCGGCAGCATTGTACAGGTGCTAGAGTGGGGACAGAGAGTGACACCTTGGGGAGCTGGGAAGGGAAAGGGCTGGGGGTCCTCTTCCAGCCTCTGCAGAATTTCAGGCCTCCAGGAAACACTGGAATAGGGGGAAGAGAAAGGTGCCCAAGGGTGCAAACCTTCTCGAAGCGTGGAACCTTGCAGGCCTTCAGGGCAGTGGCATCCAGCACCAGCACAGGGCCCAGGCCAAAGATGTCACGGAGTAGCTCATTGTTCTGGGGGGCAGAGGGCAGTGAGCTCAGGCCAGACTGAAGCAGCCACACCAGGTGTCCCCTCCCTGTGCATCCCCGCACCTGGAGGTGGTGGTGCATGCCTGAACCCAGCACTTCCTTGAAGGCAGTGTAGATCCGGTGCCGAGCCCAGCTGTCCATGTAGAGCACCTCAAAGCCAAAGCGCACTATCTCTTCTTCACATTCACCGCCCTGCAGGGTAGAGGGGCCAACACAACTGGGCTTGGCTACTATGCCTGGGAGTGCACCCTCACTAGGACACATATGTTCTCACACACACCTCCACGGAGTGCAGCACGGCACGAAAAGTAGAGCGCTGGCGCCGGCGATCAGCCTTGGCACGGTACTTGTTACTGTCAGTGGCCAGAGTGCGCAGGACACTGCAGAGGGCCTCCATGTCCTCATAAACAAACTCCTCCTGCAACGGGAGCGTTGGAAGGTGTGTGGTAGGTAGATGCTTGAGCTCTGCTGGCTCTGAACAGGGCACTGCCGAAACCCATCCTTTCCCTGAAAGACCCTCTCTTCTCTGACTGGCCCCTTTGACCCCTCCTGGGCGTCTGTCAGGCCAGGACACCGCTGCTCAGGGCACCCATCATGACATCTAGCAGATGAATCTGTGTTGGGGCCACCTCCTCTGCATAATGACCTAAAGCTGCTCTGTTTTTTGTGGCACCCCCTGCATCCAGCCTGTGATGGGCAGGTGGTATCACCAAGCACCCCCCATCCTTGTCCCTCGCACCTCAAGGTCCCGGGCAAGCTCAAAGAGCAGTGCAATGGTTTCACCGGCAGCGATCCGCAGGTTCACACTTTCACTGGACAAGAGCTGGGGCAGCCGGGGCAGCTGCCTAGGGAAGGGGCAGGCTGAGCTGTATGTGTGGGTTGGGGGCCTTTTTGAGATCCCCCCTCCATCCCAGTGGACAGCCACCCCTACCTGTCAAGGATGTGGCTGATTTGGGTGCTGGGGCAGATGGTGAGCAGCAATGCCCAGGCCTGCAGGGCAGCACAGAGCAGGCCGTGCAGGCTGGCAGGAACCACAGGAGTTGTGGAGCTGCCCAAGCCATAGAACCGGCTGAAAACACTTTCTAAGCAGGCAAGGCAAGAGACCAGGTCCTAGGAACACAGGGAGGCAGGGGAGCTCAGAGGCAGAGTTACAGCCCTAGATGCTCTACCACCTGTGCCCAGAGACCACTCACCTGGATGTCGGCAGCAGCCACGTAGCAGCCCAGGCCAAGAGCAGAAGCACACTGTTGGGAGAAGGGCAATGCTGTGCCACAGTCAGCGGATGAATCTGGGTTCCCAGCCCTGGAGCTCACTTCCCTCAGAGTAAGGGAGGCTGAAGACAGGGGGAACCCAGCACTCTGTTGAGGGATAAGGTGCAGGAAGGGTTTCATGGGGCACAGGCACACTTACGTGGAGCTGGGCAGCAGGGCTAGCTGTGCTGTCACTGAGCACAGAGACCAGCAGAGGCTGCAGGCTGTGGAACAGCTCCTCACCCTTGGGTCCCGGGCCCAGCTGCACGCAGAGCAGACCTAGCACAGCAGCGGCCAGGGCTTGTTCCTCTCCCTTCCCTGTGGGATGCTTTCCAGTCAGCCTATGCAGCAAGGGCCAGCGTCTGCCCAGTTTAAGTCTCCCATGCACCCCCAGCTCCAACCTTTCTTGAGGCACTTTTCCAGGGCATCAGCTAGTGTGAGGCGGCGCTCCAGCAAGAAGTCGGGGAGTAGGCGGGACGCCAGGGCCAGGCGCAGGCTCTCGAGAGCACCCTGCCGGGTCTTGGCACTGGGGGAGGTCGAGAAGGGGGGTCATATAGGCCAGCCCTCCCTTGGTCACACTTGGAGCTGGGTGTAGGAGTTGGCTGGCAGCCAGGGGTACCTCTTGTCTGTGAGGCAGTCCACATACTCCTTCAGCTTTTCCTCAAGGTCTTCCTGCTGGCCCTGCTCATTCACGACATCCCCCCCTGGAAGGCCACCTGGTCAGCACTGCTTCTTGTGCTCAGCCCATGGAGCCCTCACCAAGCCCCTGTCAAACTTCCACCCACTCTCACCAAGGCTGTCCTCTGCAGTGGTGCTGAGAAGGCTGGGGCATTCACTGGTGGTGCTGCGGGCCTCACTGGCTGCCTCATCATCACTGGAACCCGAGTCAGCTTGGGCACTGCTCCGGGCACCTGGGGAAGGTGGAATAGGACACTCAACTTGCCTCTACTGATGAGGGATGGCTGGGGGTACCTCACCCAACCTCATAATCCCAAAAGATAGAATGGTGCTCCTCTCGGAGATGGAAAACCAAAGCCAAAGGTCAGTAGGGTTGGTGCACTCCTGTGTGTGGGCTCTGTCCAGGGACAAGGGCTCACACTGGCAAGGGTGGCTGCTGTGGCAGAGTTTTGGACAGGGTGTGATCACCAAGCTGCCCCTAATTCTAAGAACTACTCACACCTCTCACCTGCAGGAGGAAGTCCAGCCTACACATTGGCCTCTGCTCCCCACCACCTTTTTTTTTTCTGAGACAGAGTTTTGCTCTTGTTGCCCAGGCTGGAGCGCAATGATGTCATCTCAGCTCACCACAACCTCCGCCTCCAGGTTCCAGTGACTGTCCTGCCTCAGCCTCCCGAGTAGCTGGGATTACAGGCATACGTCACCACACCCAGTTAATTTTGTATTTTTAGTAGAGATGGGGTTTCTCCATGTTGGTCAGGCAGGTCTCGAACTCCTGGCCTCAGGTGATCTGCCTGCCTTGGCCTCCCAAAGTGCTGGGATTACAGATGTGAGCCACCACACCCAGCCTGCTCCCATTTTATCTTACTATCCTACCTGCCAGAGCAGCCCAGCCTTCCCTCATTCACTCCACTGTGCTGGGGTCCCTCCAGCTGCCAAGACTTTGCACAACTTGCTCTCTTCTCCATCTTCTCAGGACTCACCCAGAAGCACCTCCCCCCAGGCCTCCCTGAGTCGTAAGTCTGGGGCTGACACCATTCAGTGACCATGTTCTATACCCTATTAGACGTCCCCCACCCAAACCCCACCATGGTGGTGACCAGTTTAAAGTTATGCCTACGTATTTTCCTCCTTCCTGTGATCAGCCGTCCTCCCCTCCCCCTCAAAAATAAAAATAAATAAATTTGTGCGTCGTACACACCCCATCCCAGCAGAGTAAACATAAGTGTTTACTGCATTAAGACAGGCTCCTGGCCTAAGCTGATAAGCGAGTCCCAAGACTGCCTCAGGCTCCAGGATAGTCAGCCACCTTGTGGAGTCAGGCCTGCCAAGGTGCCAAGGCCCTAATCAGGTAGCTTCCCAACAGATCCCCCTCCTTCTGTTAACCGGAGCAGGCCAGGACTCCCGCCAACTTCCTTGATCAGTCCAGGAAAGGATCAGGGTTTGGCAAGGGGACTGGCTTCCTGCTCTGTCCGGTGAGTTTGCCCACCCAGCAGGCAACTGAGGCAGAGAGGCAACGGGGAAACTGAGGCCCGGAGAGGCTGGCCGGGTCACGGCTGGGAGCGCGGACTCCCAACAGGCAGTGGGCAGCGAGCTCAAGTTGGGCACGCACGTGGCCAATGACTGCTGGGGCACGTGCCAGCCTCGGTAGAGTTCTGGGAAGCTGCGCGGGGCTGGCCGAGGGGGTTCCCCACCCAGGGCCCTCGAGAACAACTACGGGGACCCAGCAGGACCCCCACCCGCCGCTCATCAGCTGTCCCACGCCCCCCACCCCACTCACCTCCTCCACGGCGCTGACCACCCTTCCGGAGCGTGTTGCCCTTACGGGCGCGAGGCATGCCGGGAACCGGGCGCGGGGGGCGCGGGGTCAGGGACCCGGTGGGTGTGGGCTCCAGGGCAGCGAGATGCCGGCCGGTGCGCTGCGCTGAGACTTGGCCAGACGACGGGCGCCACTCGCCCCGCGCGCCACCATCTTCGCGAGGCGCCCCCCCCTGCCAAACAGGTCGCCGGGAAGGCGAGTTCCAGGCCATCCGATTCAGGCCCACATCCACGAGGCTAAAACTACTAATCCCAGGGGCCTGAGCGCGCAGGTGACGGCGGCTGGCTGCGCGTTAGAGCACCACGGGAATGGTAGTCCACGCCTGGGGCCCACCAGCCGACTACGCGCTAGCTGAACTATGCACCCACAATGCCCTGCGCGCGCCCCAGCCCCCTCGGTGCACACTCGTAAACTCCGAAGCGCCCCTCAGGAGCACCACGGCAGGACTGGCTTCTCAGGGCACTTGGCCGCGGGACGCTCGCGACGAGTCCTACCCCTGCTCCTCGGTCTGGGGACCATGGGAAGGGCTTAGAGCTTGGGATAACAGGAGGAACAGCCAAACCTCAGGCAGTGGAAAAAAGTGACTTTATGATGAAACAGTGCAGACAACAGCTTAACACTTTACCGACCTTAGCCAAGATTTTTGGGGGCCCATCTGCCCGTGCACGGCCCATCTTCTGTGACCTCTCCATGGGCCTAGTGAGGTGTAGGCACAAAGCCCTAGGCTGGCAGCCCTAACTAGCTGGAACCTGACTCTCCCTGGAACTGCTTCCTTGCCATGGAGGAGTCACATGATCTCAGAGGGCCTCTGGTTTTATAAGCGTTTTTTCTGGCCCCTTCTACCCCTCAGGGATTCCAAGGGAAGCGGGGTGTGTGCTTGGGAGGGTTGACTGTAAACTGAATAGAGCAAGAGTGGGACAGAGTAGCTCCAGGACTGGAAAAGTGGCAGCAGGGAAAAGAAGAGGCAGTGGCAGGGGCCCTGGCTTTATATTGCTTCTTTAGGCCCAAGCCTGGGCTCCTGGCAGGTGGGGCCAGCCCAGCCACAGTAACAGTGGCAGCTGAAGGACTTCCAATCTCCAAGGCTGCCGTCTGGCCACAGGTGTAGAAAGGCTTCCATCTGTTCTGGATCTCGCCGGGCACAACGCCCGTGACCATGGCACCGCTGGTGACTGCAGGCCATTGCTGCCCTGGTCACATTGATCACATAGGGTCCCAGGGTGTCCACCAGGTAGTCATGGAGATGCCAGCACTCCTTCTAAGGAGAAGGGAAGAGTTGTGTCAGTATGCCTGCTCTATAGTCTTGACATGGCCGTCCCCCACCCTGGGACCCCAGCATGTGCTACATGGCAGGCTCAAAGGGGCAATGATCACCTCAGAGCTGGAGAGGCTCAGATCCCCCCAGAGCACCACGCCGGCTGCCCCTAGCGCTGCACTCACACCAATGGTCTGCACAAGGTCATCCTGGAGACAGAGAGCTGCTAAGCCAGGGCTGGGCTGGCCAGATCCATGTGGGCCCACATCCACATTCAAGAAACTCTTCTGGTTCACTGTCACAATGTGATTCTACCTCTACAGTAGGGCCCCTCTAGTTTGGTTTGGTTTTAGAAGCAGGGTTTTACTCTCTCATCCAGGCTGGAGTGCAGTGGCATGATCATAGCTCACTGCAGCCTTGAACTCCTGGGATCAAGTAATCCTCCCACCTCAGCCTCCCAAGTAGCTGGTACTACAGGCACATGTCATAACACCTGGCTAATAATTTTTTAGGCTGAGCACGGTGGCTCACACCTGTAATCCCACACTTTGGGAGGCAAAAGCAGGAGGATCACTTGAGCCCAGGAGTTCAAGACCAGCCTGGGCAACATGACGAAATCCCATCTCTATAAAAATATAAAAATTTGGTGGGTGTGGTAGTATGCACCTGTAGTCCAGCTACTCGGGAGGAGGCTCAGGTGGGAGGATCACTTGAACCAGGAAGTGGAGGCTGCAGTGAGCTGAGATCGTGCAACTGCACTCCAGCCTGGGCAACAGAGCAAGACTGTCTCAATTTTTTTTTTTTTTTTGGTAGAGACTAGGGTCTCACTGTTGCCTAGGCTGGTCTCTTGGCCTCAAGGAATCCTTCCATCTCAGGCTCCCAAAGTACTGGGATTATAGGTGTGAGCCACTCACCCAGCCCGAGTAGGGCCCCTTTGTATCGAGTCTCTGAGTGACTTCTCAGGCATTCCACTCAGAATATCTCCCCTCAGACCAGCACTCCAAAGGCTGGGCCTCCCTACCCCTCAACATCTTCCAGGGCAGAGCCATGCCTCCCTCATCAGATACTCCAGGACAGGGCCTTCCACTCAGAACCCCTAGATTAGGACCAACCCCTAGGCAAGATCTTCTCCTGGGACCTTCCTAGAACAGGGCCATACCTCCTGACTAAGACCCCTAGACCTCAGCTTCCACTTACCTGGGACAGGAACCTCCCAGATCTCCGGTGTGTGAGGCGGACATAGGCCAGGACAGGCAGGGGATGTCGGTGCCCAACAAGGGCCACACGGAAGGCCTCCTCCAGGCGATGTCGGACAAAGGCCTGGTGGTGGGCAGGCGGCAGCCTGGGTGGGAGGTAGATGCTGGGGAAGAGGGCACTGGAGGCGGCCCAGAGCCAATGCAGTTGAGTGTTGCGGGCCAGGGTGGCTGCATGGCAGCGGCCGGTATAGTTGGAAGCCATACTATGCCAGCCATTGCCGCAGGCTGGGTAGCGATAGAAGCCCCAGAGTCCATGGGGCCGCAGTGCCTGGCCCATCCGCAGCGTATCCTCCATCAGTGCACGGGCCGCCTGCTCAAAGCCAGTATAGGCCTTGTAGAGCTGCTCCTGAGGGTCCAGGTCAGGGAATACCTGCTGTGCCCAAGCCCAAGAGGCTGCCTGATAGGCCCGGCGGCGGCCCCAGTTCCCAGCCCAGAGTGGACACCACTCCTCCCAATCCAGCACTGCTGGGCCAGCAAAGCTGGGTCTCAGGCTGTGATGGATCTGGTAGGCAGCCAGTGCCAGGTGGCGGTCAAGGGGCAAAGCCTGGGGGATGCCCCCATTGTGAGCTGTGCCCCTGGGCCCAAAGTAGGGATAGAGGCCGAGTTGGTTCTTGTAGAAAATAGTCATGTTCTGACCGTGGAAATGCTGGTCACGGTTGGCTATGATGCCCAGGGCATTGAGTGGCAGGTGCACACCAAAGCGGGCCTTACAGTGTGCTGAGGGTACATTCCACAGCACAGAGAAGGGGTGTTCAGGGACCTGTGGCAGGGGCTGGCCACAACCCAGGCACAGGGCCACTCCCAGCACCAGGGCTGGGCCTAGTTGCGTGGTCATGCCCCAAGGATGGAAACCTGCAGGAGAGAGGGGGGTGTGAGCTTAGAGTCCATAGCTATGACCACACTTTCCACACAGCAGGGAAAGCCAGGAAAGCTCCCCCAGCTCCTTTCCATCCTTACAGGAAGAGCTGGGGAAAGCATGTTTCCCCAGGGGTCTCTTGGGCCTTTTAAAACAGCCACACCACAAGCTGGCTATGATGCCCCGGGCATCGAGTGGCAGGTGCACACCAAAGCGGGCTTTACAGTGAGCTGAAGGTACATTCCTTCCCATATTCCCCATCTTTGTCAATACACCACTGTATCCTCCCACGGCTGTCACAAGTCCCCTTCTTTCCTCTGTCCACCTTGTTCCTTCTTCCAAGAACACTCAGCTCCCACCTCCTTACCTGCCTGGTTTAATTCCTACCTAGCACTCAGGTCTCTGCTGTGACATCATTGCCCTGGGAGGTCTCCTGGATCCCCAGGTGGAGTGAAGTCACTTGGGTTCCCAAAGCCTGTCTACCTCCCCTGTGCCATATGGATCCTGCTACTGTATGCCTGTTTGTCTAGTTACCCACTGCCTATGTCCTGTCCAGGGCTTGACACACAGTAGGCGCTCAGTGAATGGTAATGAGTGAGTGAATGGGGAAGAGAACAGCCACCCTGTCTCCTGAGCCTGGTGGGGGGTAAAGGCAAAGGACAGGCATCCTCCCATCAATGGCCTTAGGACCAAGGTGGATCTGGGGACTTCTGCAGGGATAAGGGACCTGCAGAAGAGGGGAGAGGTGAGGGTAGGGGGGTCAACAAATAAACTCTGTCACAGCCACACCCAACAGAGGCTTTATTCAGCCACACTGACGGCTCTGAACCAGAGCCACCTCCTGGCCCCACTGGTACCCAGGAAACATGCCCAGACTAAAGCTGCCCCCCAGGGACTAGGGGGCTGAGGTATGGTCAGTGGGCTGAGGCTTGTAGACTGTCCAGGGCAGTCTATTGACCCAGAAAGACAGTTCCTTGCCCTGGATGGCCTCAGATGTCTTTTTCCATCCAGAATATGGGGCGCCCCCTCACATTTTGATATTGTGTCTCCAGCAGGCTTTTTGAAGGGGGCCCTGATGGAACTGGGGGTGAGGTGGTCAGGCACTCAGGTAGAGGAGGGGGTGGTGGCAATGGAAGTCCCTTGGGACCCCTTGGGGCAGCTTGGGCAGTCAGGTTTGGGGCCTTCCAGGGTGGCCGGGGAGAGGGGCCTGTGGGGAAGGCATTAAGCAGGGTGGCAGGCAGCCGTCTGCTGGTGAAGACCAGGCCCTGCACAGGCTTGCCCAGCTGGTAGCCCAGGTGGGTATAGAAGTGCACCTGGTCATGGGTGGTGAGGTGCAGCTTGCGGAAGCCCCGGGCCCGAGCAAAGACCTCCAGGCCCTCCATGAGGCAGCGGCCAAAGCCACGGCCCCTCAGCGCCCGGGCCACCACCACTGTCTCCACTAAGAGGCTCTGGGGCTGGTTCAGCACCCGTGACAGGCGGGCATGGCCCACCACAATGGGTGCTGCTTCAGATGTGGGGTGGGGGCTCAGCAGCATCAGGCAGAGGGGGAAGGCATCTGAGGACTGGCCCAGGGAGTGAAGGCGGGAGGCGCGGCTGCGGGGCCACTGATCATTGATGAGGTCAGCACAAGCGTCCAGGAGCTCGGGTCGGCGGTGCACAGGCTCCAGGGTCAACTCAGCCAGGCTAGGAGCTGGTGTCTCCTCTGGCTGGTGTTCAGGATCCACGGTAAGCTCAGTTGGGCCAGGATTGAAGGTCATCTCTGGTTGGCATGTGGAATCCAGGGGCAGCTTTGGCTGGCACGCAGGATCCAGAGTCAGCTCAGCTGGGCTGGTACTCAGGATCAGCTCCATCCGGTGTGTAGGGTCTAGTGTAGGGGTCAGCTTGGCTGGGCCAGGGCTCAGAGTCAGCTCTTGCCTATGCACAGGATCCAGGTTCAGCTGAGTCAGGCTGGGAGCCAAGGTCACCTGCTGCTAGGTTGCAGGTGGCTCAGTGCCAGGCTGGAGGTTAAGACCCCAGTCTCCAGGCAGTGGCATCTCTTCAGACCACAGTGGCTCTCCTCCTGTAGATAACAGCCATGCTGGGCTGTGCCAGGAGGGAGGGTGGGGTTGGGGCAGGGAAAGGCTGACAGAGTTCGAGGGGGACCATGCATACTGGAACTGGGGAGTGGTGGGCTGCACTTTGTCCCACACTCACCTGATAGCACAGGTGACCTGGAAGAGACCCATCCCCTGTAGAGCAGGGCAGATAGATCCAGGTGTCTACCCCACATTGGAGGGAGGCTGGGAGTGATGGATGAGCTGCTTAAGGCTAGGACAGAACCTAGGAGTCCTGGCCCCAGCCTGCTCTGACTACAAATTTGTCTTCCTCAGGACCTCCCCTCACAGGGGGCCTGTAACCACCAGGTCTATAAAACAGCCGACCCAATCCACCTGCTGGCCTTCTGTCTTCCAGTAGTCCTCCCAGTCCACCACTAGGGCATGGGATAGAAAATGCAAAGCAGACACTACACCCCCTGCTCAAACCTACCTCAAGGTTCCCTCCATAGGAAAAACTGCCCCAGGAGTCTTCCTGTCCCTTTCTTCTCCCTATGTTCTGAGTCTCCTCCAGCTCCCAGCCTTTTCAACTACCTGGGCTATGCCCACGGCCTTAGTGGATCCTGGGGCCCCACTCATGCACCCATCAGGCTGAGCTTTGGCCTGTCTTGACTGCCTTCCCTGCCTGGAGCCCCTGGCCCCCTTCCCAACTCTGCCCATCTCAGGACACTTTGGATATAGACCCAACTGTCCCCTCAGATGGGACCCCAGCAGCACCAGCACTGGGCCTGGTCCACAGCCACACAGCAGTATTGCCTCTGCAGGCTTGGTTCCCCACTGGCCTGAGTTTCGCAGGCACCCTAGATAAGGACCACAGCTTCCTTCCTATATACACAGGGTGTCCAACGGTCACCAGGTTGGGGGCCTAGGCCTCCTGTGCCCAAACCCTACTGTTTTCCCATCTTAACCAAGGTCCTGCTGTCAGGCAGGTCTACGCTGGGGGTTTTCTAGTGGTGGGCGGGCAGCTGGGCCCCCCCCTTCTACTCACCTGCTCCAGAGGGGGCCTCTTGGCTCCCCTACCTCTCCTGAGCTTGAGGCCAATTAAACACTGGTCAGTAACAGGCACCCCACTCCCCTCACCTCCCACCCCATTCACAGGGCTATAAGCCCCTCACCTGCATCAGCCACCTCGGCAGCAGCTGCACCCTTTGGTCTGGAGGGAGGAAGCCCCAGGATCCGCCCCTAGGGCTGAGCCCCGGGCTTCCCCGCGGCCTTAACCCCTTCAGTGCCGACCCCACCCACTGGGGCGGGGCTCCGGGGTCCTCAGAGAGTCGCTTCTCCGTCTCTCCCGGGCCTCGGTTTCCCCCTCCCTTCTAGTGGGTCACAACAGGCTGTGGAGCTTTTGGGAATGGGGACTTCGAGAGCTCGACTCTGTGGGCAGGTGTGGCTCGGCATGCTCTAGAAACGAACGACTGACGCGGGGAGGGCGTGCAGGGTGGCATGGCCACTTGGGGACCGCACGCGCGGGGTGGACCTACAGGCAGCAAATAGGAAGGGTGCGGTACTGACATGTTGAAGCCGGCCTCCGGGATGTTCCGCGTCCTAGCTCCGCACAGCTGGGTATCTCACTCAGTCGCCACCTCGGACTCCTCGGTCCGACAGCGCTGGCCCCCAGCGGCGCGGCGGATGTACTGCAGCCGTCGCGTCCTGCGGCGCGCCAAGGGGTTCCAAGGTCTCCCGGGGTGTCCCGGCACCCGCGCGTCGCCGCTTAGGCCCCGCCCCTCGTTTACGCGTCACAACACCCACCAGGCGCAGGCTCAGTCTCCACCCTGCTGAGCTGAGCTCCGCCCCTGCTGAGCTCCACCCCATCTCCATTTGAGTCCGCCTCCTCCCCACTCGGCCCCATACAGGCCCCGCCTCCTGCTCCTTGCGTCAGAGCTTAGGTCCCGCCTCGATTTGGCTTCTTCCAGGCCCTGCCCCGGCCCAACACGTCACCACTTCAGCCAGGCGCAGGCCCCGCCTTCAGTTGACTCCGCCTCTGCCAGCCCCGCCCCAGGCTCGGACCGGTCCAGCTTCAGTTCCCGCCTGCCTCCCACCCCAGGACAGCTTGGAAACGGTCAGATCCCGTGGGGCTTCCTCCTGAAATTTGGGCCCCACCCTGGGAAGCAGCCGCTCTTAGACTGACGTCAAATCTGGTGAGAGTGACAAGCCTTTCCTGTGCCCTTTGGATACCGGGGCCTGGACATTTTAGGCGCTCAATAAACAGCTAGGTAAATCATGACTGCTTTATTTGCTGGGCTGGTGCCTCTCAGCAGACTCAGGGGTCGTGCAGGGCTGGTTACCATAAACTCAGTAGGAGTGCAAGGGCTGTACCCCCAGAGCTAGACAGCCTGGGTTTGAATCTCAACTTCTCCCTTTTCGTGCTGTGCAACCTTGGGCAACGTGTTTACCCTCACTGTGACTCAGTTTCCTTATAGTCTCATTGTGAAGAATGAATAAGTCCACATAAAATGCTTAGCACGGCGATTGGCAAAGAGTAGGCACTCAGTGAATGTCTAAAGACTGGCTCAGTGTCTCTGGAGGAATTGTCTATGACCTTGCCAAGTGGATGCATATGGACATGAAATGAATGGTGTCTGCTGTAGTTCAAACTCCTTATGCCACTGTTCTAGTCTGTAAGTATGCATGTGCAGGGAATATGCCCGTGACAGTGGCTGAGTGTACTCTTCACTGTGACCATGACTTATATGACTGTGCCTGTATTTGAGGAAGCCCTGGCCAGACCCAGAGTGCATTAGGTTCTCAAGGTGCGCAACTCAATGTGTGGCCAATCACCACATGCTCTTCTGCTCACACCACGGTCCCTGCCAGCCAGGGTAGCATCGACATTTGAACTCCACGGCCATCTGTGCCTGATCTTCAAGTGAGAGGGCACCCCGCAGGCTCAGGGGTCCACCATCAGGCGTGAGCTGGATGGAGAAACTGGCAGGGTTAAGAATGAGGAGGGCTTTAGGGTGGCTGGGGCGGCGGACACAGCGGCCATGGCTGGAGCACAGGGCTTGACTGCAGAGAAGTGCCCCACTGGTCACATTCAGGATGAAGGGCCCCAGGGTAGTGTCCATATACTCCTTGATGGCCTGACATGATTCCTAGGTGGGAGGGGAGGAGAGCGTCAGGGACACCTTGGTCATGTATGGACCCTCCTAGGGCACTGAGACACTCACCTGCTGGTCAGCCAGGACTTTGCAGGTAGAAAGGGTAAGTCAGGGTCTACCCAGTCAGCTTAATGACCCCACCTCTTCCCCACCCCCACCCTCATGCCAGGCCTAAGCTCACCTTGGTTCTTGTATTTTCCCAGCTCACCCAGAGCACCACTCCAGCTGCCCCCTGGGCCGCACTCTCCCCCAGGCTGTGCTCCAGCTCATCCTGGGAAGGAGACAGCAGAGTTCTGTGGGGACTCCTTCCCACCCTGTGGCAGACTGCTGGAACACCATTGGATGGGGCAAATAATTCATGACCTTCACCTGGGGCTGCTCTGGCCACGGGACCAGAGGCAAACTGCTTCCTCCTCTAGCCTATGAATTCCAATAAATGTTGAATTGCCTGTGCCTGGCACAGAACTTGGCACAAAGTACGCACTCAATTGATGTGCCCATGCACCAGGCATGGTGGCTCATACCTGTAGTCCCAGCATTTTGGGAGGCTGAGGTGGGAGGATCACCTGAGGTCAGGAGTTCGAGACCAGCCTGGCCAACATGGTGAAACCCCATTTCTGCTAAAAATACAAAAATTAGCCAGGCATGTTGGTGGCATGACTGTAATCCCAGCTACCCGGGAGGCTGAGGCAGGAGAATCGCTTGAACCTGGGAGGTGGAGGTTGCAGAAGCTGAGATCTTGCCCCTGGTACTCCAGCCTGGGTGACAGAGCAAGACTCTGTCTCAAAAAAAAAAAAAAAAAAAAAAGAATGAATGGATGAAAATGTCCCAAGGTTGGGGGCCGGGCACGGTGGCTCATGCCTGTAATCCCAGCACTTTCGGAGGCTGAGGCGCGCGGATCATGAGGTCAGGAGATCGAGACCATCCTGGCTAATACAGTGAAACCCCGTCTCTACTAAAAATACAAAAAATTAGCCGGGTGTGGTGGCGGGCACCTGTAGTTTCAGCTACTCGGGAGGCTGAGGCAGGAGAATGGCGTGAACCCGGGAGGCAGAGCTTGCAATGAGCCGAGGTCATGCCACTGCACTCCAGCCAGGGCGACAGAGCGAGACTCTGTCTCAAAAAAAAAAAAAAAAAGAAAAAAAGAAAATGTCCCAAGGCTAAAGTACCCCAAGGCTGGACCTAATATCTGACAAGGCAGGTTGACAAGGTGGGCAGGTTACAGAAGACTTACCAGGGGCAGAAAGTGGTTTGTCATGTCATAGAAGATCTGGACATAGGGCAGCACTGGCAGATTGGGGTCACCAGCAGCCACAGCCACACGGAATGCCTCAGCCACACGGTGCTGCACATACATCTGTGACTTCCCTGTGCCCTCCAGCACTGCGGGCATGTAGATGCTGGGGTAGAGGGCACGACTCTGGCCCCACAGCCACCCTAGCTGGTCATTTTGGGCACGGATGCCTGATGGGCACTGGCCGGTGTAGTTAGGGCTTAGAAAGTCATAGTTGTAGCAGTCAGGGAAGCCATAGAAGCCCCAGAGGCCGCGAGGACGCAGTGCCCGCCCCAGCTGGAGGGTGCCTGCCATCCAGGCCCGTGCAGCTCCCTGGAACTGGTCCTGGGCTACTGCCTCCACCTGAGTAACTGGCCAATCAGGGTGCTGCGCCTGTACCAGAGCCCGTGAGCGCTGCCGGTAAATGTCCTTGGTGTCCCAGTTGAAGGCCCAGCGTGGGCGCCATGCCTCCCAGTCGATGACTGCCAGCCCTGAGAAGTCAGGAGCAGGTATGGCAGCCAGGATGTCCTGGAATGTGCGGGCCAGGTGGGCAATCAGGCTGGCATTCTGGGGCAGACCACCAAACACAGGCTCCCCAGTGGGCGTGTAGTAGGGATAGGTGCCCAGCTGAGAGCTATAGAAAATTGTCATGTCAGGGCCACGGAAGGTCTGCCCTGGGTTGGCTACCACATCGAAGATACTGACATCCACGTCCACGCTGTGCCTCTCCAAGCACCACTGGGTGTTTGCATTCCAGACGGTGGCGAAGGGCCGGTTGGGTAGCAAGGGGCCCCTAGAGCCTTGGGCCATATCAAGTAAGGTCAGGAAGAGGGTGCAGATGGGAAGCAGGTGGGCTGCCATGGCACGGGAGTGGTCGAGGACAACCTGGCCAGGGGAGGCAGAGCTGAGAACAGGTTGCAAAGTCTCTCATCCCCCACTGCTCAGGGCTAGGGGGCTGAGCCCTTGCACATTAATCCACCGCTGCTCTGGTCTCTGTTAAACATTGACCTGCAGGGCTCCGGGAGGGCAGAGGAGACGCATGGAGGCGAGTATGGCCACTGGAGGGCACATCCGAGTTGCCTCTCTGACCAGGCCTCTGCCATCTCCCACAGGACTTGCTCTAGCCTAAGCTCGCCCACCCCTGCTTCCCCATGAGCCACTGAGGCCATGACATCTGTTCTGGGAAGAGTGGCTGACAGCCAGGCCCTCAGCCCCCAGGCTGACCCCACCAAGGGGAGGAGGACTTCCTGTCTCTTCCACCAGAAATCCTGGCAGCCATTGGAGGAAGATCCAATGGCCTCAGTGACCAAGGACAGGTCAACCCAGCCCTCCTGTACACCCGCCAGTCTGCCCGCTCGTCCCTGCTGACCTTGGGGCTGAAGGGCCTCATCCTCCAAATTTCCTGACCCCAGGATGGGGGCCTAAGCAGGGCCTGGCTAGATTCTACCCCAGCAGCACCAGTGACTCCTGGAGGAAGGAGCGGCTGCTGGAAATTCTGAGCTTTTGTAGGGGGTCACCCCGCCCAGGCCAGGGGCGGGCCAAGGGGCGGGCCTTGGATTGGGAAGCCAGGCCAGGCCAGGCATCAGGGCTACCTCTGTAATCCCCGGCAAAGGGATCTTGGTTGGGGGTGGGGCTGGGCCAGCAGTGGCCCCTCCCACGCTGTCAGCACTAGGGCAGGGCGTTGTGATGTTACCGGGGCTGGAGGGGGTGGGCGGGGGCAGACCCTGCTGGGCAGGCCTGTTTGTGACACTGGAGACTGGGTTCCTCCATGTCTTGTGCTCAGGGAGTGTTCTTACATCTGACATTGATGGGCCCTAGGCACTTTACCTTCATGGATCCTTTTGCCTCCTTAAAAAAAATATTTAAAAATATGGCCAGGCCTGCCGGGCGTGGTGGCTCACGCCTATAATCTGAGCACTTTGGGAGGCCGAGTTGGCGGATCACTCACGAGGTCAGGAGATTGAGACCATCCTGGCTAACATGGTGAAACCCCGCCTCTACTAAAAATACAAAAAATTAGCCGGGCGTGGTGGCAGGCGCCTGTAATCCCAGCTACTTGGGAGGCTGAAGCAGGGGAATCGCTTGAACCCGGGAGGCAGAGGTTGCAGTGAGCCAAGACCGTGCCACTGTGCTACTGTATTCCAGCCTGGGTGACAGAGAGCGACTCCGTCTAACAACAACAACATATATATCTATATCTATA